AGAAAAGATCTGAGTATCGAGATATGGTATGTGCAAGGGAAGGAAATTAAACAATATAAGGACAAATAATGAGGAAAATCAATTAACTAATCAAAAAAATCATACACATTTAATAATATGAAGGTTCCTAATTAATGGAGGCAAATTACCAACTTAGTCATGAGGCGTTTATATTATCCGATCATGATTCAACACTTTTTTTAACGTTTCGATACATTTTCTTAAATTTCCAGTTTAAAAAATAATTTCCCTAATGCCCACCTCACATTGCATTGACGTTAACATTTATTTTCATGTATGCATCTTCGTAAAATCAATCTATTAAAAAAGAAAAGGGATTATTTTATAAATATTTTTTTTACTGATTAATATTTATTTTGTATATGCAATTCATATAGACCCACCCTTTTCTCTTAATTTTATTTTAATAAAATCATGAAAATTCAAATAAAAATTAATCAAAAGTCAAATTTTCAAAAATACTGCCAAAGTTATATATCTATCCCTGAATTCACCATTTCAAGGCAAAGTACTATGGATTAACATTCATGTAGGTGGCAAGACATTTTTTCTAATCTTGCCACTCTAGACCGAGGAGGGAATTAGGTATTTACAAAACATAATTCATTGTCTTATACCGCTCATGATGATCACGTAATATGAAACCTTCCCAGCTAGTGAAGATGGTGCACATGTTGTACACGTGCACGAATCTGAACGTAGGATGACTCAAATTCCCACAGACATAAATCGATATCATTATCATGATTTTAAGATTTAAAAAACATATTTGTATACATGCAGCGCAAGAATTTCTCAAACGAGCTACCGAACTGAGATAATAAACTTCTCAGTTCTCAAAAGCATAGTACATGATGGAAAATTGAAAAATTGAGATTAAAGAAAAGAGCAAAACTACTTTGATGGTAATGCATTTTGTTTGTGAAACTAGACCTAAGTTCATCAACAGGGCCTACTGGGCATTTAGATATTTAGTTATGACGAAGGGGTCATACCTATTGTATAAACAAGTGCAAGTTTCATTTCCTCAAATAACTATATAAAAGAGTTATATGCATTTTAGAGAAAAGAAGAAATCAATGGCAATGTAAAGCAGCGTAATTCAGAATTACATCAATCAACAGAATCTAGATTTAAAGGTGCATGTAATGATAATGGTAGAATCAAAATATGAACAAATATTAATCAGCCCGCAGGTTCAAACAAGAATGAATACATTAGAGGAGAAACTAATATTTCAGTGTTAGCGTCCTTTAGAATTACATCAACCAACATAATCTAGGAAAAAGGTGTATAAATTTGCTCAGCAACACCTTTCTGAGACTCTGTCTTGCACATACAAAACAGTTTAGGCGCCACCTTTCTACCTTTCAAGGTCAAGAATGCATCTTATTGGTAGCCCCTCTCAAAATGTACATAGGACAGATCTAAAACTTTATTATGAACAACGCCAAACGCATCCGTTAACACAACACCATACTCTTATAACTCCCGGTGTAATCTGAACACCGAAGTAGAATTCAAACATGTCATCTCCTATTCCGTACTCTTCTACAACCAATGGGGTTTAAGTACCGGCTGGTGTATATAGCACCAGAGTTTTTTAGCTGCTTCTCTATCTATTTATTTTTTTAACACCAAGCAGATTAAAAACTTCAAAAGCAACCTTGCTCAAACGCATGTGGTTATATGTACATATAGCACCATGCCCTAGTACACCTTGGTGTACTCTCAACACAGAAGTAGAATGCAAACATGTCATCTCATACACTTACAATACACTGGTGTATAAGCATAGACTTGTGTAATCGCGTTTCTCTGTTAGTGCTTCGCTAAAATGGTAAACCGAACAGATCTAAATCTTATTGAACAACATTATTGCACCAGTATGACACTCTCTCTCTCTCTCTCTCTCTCTCTCTCTCTCTCTCTCTCTCTCTCTCTCTCTCTAAGTGCCATATCGTTTGACTTTGGCGATCATGCTGTTCCACAACCCTCGGTTCCTAGCCTTCTGTATTAGTACCACTCCCAGTTCTTTCACTCCTCTCTCTTCCAACAATTTCCGCAGACTGTCCATCCAAAGTATCCTCCTTCTTCCCCTACTCCTTCTTCCCACAATTTTCCCTGTCAAAGCAAGGTTCTCTAGGCCTTCTTTACGTGTAATGTGACCCATGAACTTCAACTGCCTAATCAACATCTCACCAGTATGACATCATGTCCTAATACACATTGTTGTAATATTAACATTGAAGTAGAATTCAAACATATCCTCTTATATACTCTCCTGTAAGAGACTGATGAATAAGCACCGGCTTGTGTATATAACACCAGAGTTTGTTTGTTGTTCCTATATGAAAAGGGACGCCAAACATTTATAACTTTATGAGTTAAAGTGCCTAACCGCATAAGGTAACATAACACCATGCCTTTATACACCTTGATGTACTCTTAAACACCGAACATATGCCTTCCCTCCTTCGATAACTGGTGCTAAAGCACTGGTGTTAAAGCCCTGACTTGTGTATATAGGACACCAGAGTTTGCGCATGCGAGCCTGTGAAGTTGAAACCACTGCACAGGATAATGTTCAAGTATTTATCAAGTGATGACTTCCGAGTGGAGGTTAAGATATACGAGTTCTCCCCTCGCCGTCGCGATCAGACGTCTCCAAAAAAAAAAAACATGTCGAACTTTTGCATCTAGGTCAACAGAGAGGTCTCAAAACCTTCCATTGTAGATCGATAGATCTCGCGGTGATAATCATCTACCGTAAATATGGGGAAAGGAAGCGAATGTTTGCAAAAGGAATAGATTGTACACATTCTAGGAAAGAAGAATTAGGCTTAGTTGAATGTTACTTTCATGACAAACTTTCATTTTGCGGGGTGCTTTTTCTAGATCCAGTTTTAGAGATCTCCAAACATGATAATCGCAAGAAAGGAAGACCTATAGCGATATTCAAATCCAAATTAAATATCTAATTTGAATTATTTAAACTATACAAAGTGAATATGTTATTATTTCATTAAAAGCTAGAATTTCTTATTGAAATACTGATTAAACTATACCAAACGTAATAAATACTAGGAGGCTAGATATGCATTGGATTTTTTTAAACGGTGGTTTGATGGTCTAGTTCACTTAACTGCTAAAAGAGCATGTGTATGCTTCTAGGTAAGCAACCAGTGGACCGGCGGCTTTAAACCCTCTCCGAGGGCCTTGTTAATATAGAGCATTAATGCATTCCCAAAGGGCCCAGGCGAATCCACTTGGTTTCGAATCAGTCCCCCCCCCCCCCACCAGTTACAAGACCACTGCTCTACCACTGAGCGATCACGCCTGATCATAAAACCCTTTCTCCTTTTTTTTGTTTAAAGCAAGCGAAACTAGGGGGTATCCTCGCGTATTTAATGGGAAGTTAGCGATAGAATAATCATGAACATTTCTGCTACGGTCAAAAACTTTCTATCCATTGCTGAAATACAAGAATGTTGGCATATACTGTTACGAGATGGCGCTATGTATTTGTAGCATCCAGAGCCATGGATCTTGTAGTATCTACTGTCATTTACGAGTGGTTGAATTAAATGGTTTATATATCTTAAAAATACAATTCCCCTCCCCCCCCCCCCCCCACCAAAAAAAAAAAAAAAAAAAAAACAAAACAAAACAAACAACAACAAGTCCCGTTTACACACAGATATATTGTTAGTAAAACTCCGGGCACTGGCCACTGGAAAACTGATGAAAAAAAAGGGGGGGGGGGGGGAGAGGCTTTGGGCAGTGCCCCCCCCCCCCCCCCCCAATAAAATTCAAATTATTCCTAATTTGATACCAGTGATTTACAAATGATGCTGAAATGACGTGATTTTCCAAGTTTTTTCTTTCCATTTTGCCAATTATGCCACCTGGTGGTGATGCCAATTTTTGTTCTGCCCCCAAAAAGTTTGTGCTCATTACGCCACTGGCACTGACATCCAAACCATCATCACCATAACAATTATGAACACAATATAGACCATCATCATCGGTAAATAATTACCATCAGCACAGTCAAAATATGGGTCAACCCCGAAAATAGAACTCCAGATCTGGCTATCCAAACCGTCAAAACAAACCCCCCAATACATTAGGGAATAGGCAGTTTTCGTCAATAAAACTAATACATAAGTCCTCCCTGATGTAAATTTGGTTTTGATAGCAGCCAAAAAAACGAGAGGAACAGGTCAGTGAAAATTGAGAAAAATCTGATTGAAATTACGAAAGTTATGAGTTTTTGAACTTGCGATCAATCAAACACAAATTGGCAACACTGTGATTTATCTTGCAAGGTCCACTTTCATTTCTCTGTACATACAATTTCATAAACTTTCACTTTCTTTGTTATTAATGACGGAATAGAGTTTTCCACACAAGGGTTGTATAAAAACATATTTAGGGTTCAAGTTTGATTGAAAATTTTCTATAGGGAAAATCAGAAAATCTGTGTTTTACTACAGAGCAAATAGGAGGGAAGCTTGCAAGATACGTCACAGAGTTGCCGATTTGTGTTTGATTGATCTCAACTTTAAAAATTCATAACTTTCTTATTTTTTGATTGGAATTTGCTCAATCTTTCACTGACCTGTTTCTCTCAATTTTCTGCTTCTATGAAAACCAACTTAATATCAGGTTGGACTTCCCCTTTAAAGGCCCATTGCACTACAAAAACAATGCCTAATTGGTGACCATTGTTCCCCCATGATCCCCTTTTTCTTATGTTAATTGAGCGCTTATTTGATGAGATAAACCACCTATCAGTGACCATGAAGGGAGGTCTAATCCCTCCTGGCCAAAATAGTGCAGTGGGGCTTTAAGAGTCTTACTACACACTTCACATGAGGAGAGATAACTCAAAGAAATATCTTTTGTTTAAAAGCACCTTATTTGGTTCTGAATACAGCACACATTGGTACAAATCATCATAATCGAGTCCAGAATTTAATTTAATTTAGAAATTTATTCAATCATCTTGGATGCACCATCATGTTTAACACAATGAATTGATTAAATCACAACAAAAATTCATGCAAATATTCTCAACAAATAATGATAAGATATATCTATATTGATATCTAGACAATCAACATGATTCAAAATAATTAGAAAAAAAACCTACCTAGATTTCTACATACAAGGAATGTCCGATATAATATGCAAATATCAAGCTAGAATAAAATCTTACCCAGCTTTCATAAAAATCAATCGAAAAAAGGCAAAATGGTGGGTTTCTCCTTAAACAAAATTGAAGTTGAATCTGTCAAATAGACACGGTGCAAATATCAAGCATCGCACAAATCCTGCTCTCAATAATTCATCAATGAGTGACACACTTTCGATGTCATAATGTGATGAAAATGTTTGTTCAGCTGCCTAAACGAAGAACTGAATTCATTTAGGGTGTAATTGATAAATCTACACACTCACTTTTCATTTTAAAGACATGAAACAAAACAAAACAAAAATGTCTAATCTATAACTAGCATCCACATTCAAATGCACTGTACAAGATATTCCAGTAGCAGTAATTGACATTAGAAACTTTGAAGTATCAGGCACGTATTGCAAAAGAAAAAAAACAACTTAAGTTCAGCTAATTAAATACCAGAGTAAAGCTCAAACTTTATATCTTAAATAAAACTTGCAGAGAGTTAACAAAAGACATGCTAAGTCTCATATGTAACCTTTTAGTGCTAGTAAATAAACATATAACAAACACAAAGTTAAATAACCATAAGGGTAGAACAAATTATTCTTCTTTTCATGCACTAAGCACCTGTTGCTATGGAAAAACGATACAAATGTAAAAACCTAAAATTACAAAAATCAATGATTATATTGAGCAATTCTGTATCTACTTGTTGATAAAATCATTGTGATGAGATTTAAAATGAAAGGCAAAGTGGGCTCAACAAATTCATTTACATGAAATACGTTCCGTTTCCTGCTCATATTTGTATTTCATTGTAATGAAATTAAATTAGAATGATGTAAAAATGCGAAGGCAGTCAAGGTTCAAATCTAAAAGTACTGGTTCACTGAAGATACATTTCTACTCTGTCTCTACACCCTTAACCCATTCTGTGCCAATTATCATAAATCAACTTTCATTAGTAAAATATCAATTTTAATTTTTGGTTTTTATTAAATTCAACATGAAAGAAGATCCATGGGAATGATATTCTCTGTGTATGTACCACTGTTCGGTGCAGGAAGAAAACACTTGATTTTGTTGTAATAGCCTGAGCAGGTTTTGCTGCAGCATTGAAATGAAACGGTGGGCGGGATTTGCTACCTATGGCACGGAGGGGGTTAAATAGGGGGAATATCAGAGCTGTAAATAAGTTATGGATGCCAGTCGGTTTTACCCAAGTCTATAAAGAATCTCAGACATGTTAGGCCATTCATATTTTCATAGATGAAGCATGAGGGCCTAAAAACATGTACATAGATCTGAGAGACGATAGGGAATTAAATTAGGTCAAAGCCTGATAAACTGGCACCCTTGATAAGTACAAACTGTGATGATGAGTCTAGTCCCATACTATAGCATCCTGTTCCACAGAGTCGTCATAGCTAAGAGCTTTGGCCGTACGTTTACCCAACAGGTTATAGATGGTTTCAGGAAGAATGCCTTTGGGTACGGCTACCTTGACGGTCAGCATGTCCTCCGTGATGACGGTACCGGCTGGAATGTCTTTGGCAGCTACAACGCTCTTCCCAAGCTGAGGAGAGAACCAGAACATTGAAGCTTACAAATTTGTTAGGACACAAGACTCATGGCTTCATGTTAACATTAATGTTATTTTTTTAAATGCATATTTAGCCAAACCTGATGAATCGAGAATTCAAGAAGACAATTATTTAAAAGAAGGTGACCTTTACATACAGGTTTCAATTCAATTTTTTAATTCAAATTTCGGCTCAAAACACTGTATAAGGGGGGGGGGGGGGGGGGTACATTCGAGTCCAGGGGTGTCTTGCAAAGAAGTTGTCTGGAAGGGATTTATTGAGAGTCAACAGGGTTGTTTGGTCAAGAATAAATGAAGATAGGCCCATTTACACAGCCTAGACACCACTTCGAAATATCATTGAATTTTTTGGACTGCTTTTTGGACACTAATGGAAAAACCATAAAAACATTGGTGTTTGCTCATTCTGATTTTTTGGTGAGTAGTGCGGGTCTACGACCTGTCGCTGCTCTACACGCAATTGCATGGAATTGAGGAGAGTCAAGTGACCAAAACAGGAATCATACAAGACTAGGCATTTACACTGAAAAAAATCAGTGGAATTGAGGAGAGTCAAGTGACCAAAACAGGAATCATACGAGACTGGGCATTTACACTGAAAAAAATCAGTGAAATTTCTGTGGGGTTTAAAAAAAAAACACTCCAGAGGTGTATTATTTGATTATTTTTGGGGGTGAGTAGTGCGAATCCACGACCTGTCGCTGCTCTACACGCAATTGCATGGAATTGAGGAGAGTCAAGTGACCAAGACAAAAATCATACAAGACTAGGCATTTACACTGAAAAAAAATCAGTGGAATTTCTGCGGGGTTTAAAAAAAAAAACACATTCCAGACATGGATTTTTTAAATTTAAATTTTTCATCCTATTGCTTATATAGCTAATAGATATTGCTTCGCAACTCCGGATGATTCACCGAAATGTGAGAAAAATATTGTTGAATTCATCTGTATCTAAACTCCTGACTGTAAGATGACTGCATAGATATCTCTCTCACCTTGTTGAACGTTGGCAGCTCGCACTCTCTCATCTCCTTGACCCTTGACCCCAGTGACCTCTCTACGATACGGATCTCTCTCACAAGCTCAGCCAGTTCCTCAGGATCTACAGATCAAACATTATTTATAAGAAGCAATTTGTATGTTAGGCTTCCCGGGAGTTGTTTGAATTTGTAAAGAAATTGTTGGCATGCACACAGTAAATAAAGATTGCATGCTCAATCTTCATTTACTGGGTGCAAGACAATAAATTTCTTTACATAAGGAAACAATTTTGTTTTTGCGCTTTACAACAATGGTATTAACAGAACAGGTGAGTTTTTACAAGATCTTTGAAGGTAATGGAGAGGTTGATGGTTACAGACAATTCTGGGCAATTTATTCCAGTTCGGGAGCAGCAGCTGTGAATCCTCTATCACCAAGTGTGGGAAGCATCTTGGAGGAACAATGTAATGTCTTACGCACACTGACTTGGTTTCCCCACCCTGTAACTCAATGTTACAAGGCCACGTCTGCTCTACAAGTACTGCTAATGCCTAGGTCACATATAAACCGGGCCCCGTACGATTTTCCCTATCCGGCGGCTTGCCGTGGATTTAGAGACCGTACGGGAACCTTCCGATTTTCTTTTCTACGGCATGTGCGGTCACATATTCTGCGGCGCCCGGGAGGTGCCCGGTGAAAATTGGTCGAGTGAAATGCAAGGCGCCCGTAAGGATGCCGGCCGGTAAGCTACGTGCTCCGTCCGATGAGCAGGTGCACCCGTGGCTCCCGGAAGGTGCCCTGCCGGGATCCGGCCGGGGTCCTCAGGGTGCCCTGCCGGGGACTGGCCGGGGTCCTTAAGGCGCCCGGCCGGGTCCCGTGCGGTGCACTTAACGATGTGTCCTCTGAAATCCGCACCTCAAGGTTCCCGTAAAGATTTTTCATGAGAATTGACCCCCAAAAATCGTGAGGGGCCCGTCCGGACACTGTCCGGAGCCCGCACAGGACCCGTAAGGTGCCCTTCGGGCCCTTCACGGGCTCTCTACGACCTAACGGTCAGATAAAAACGCCGGGAGAATTGGGAGCAGCCGACTCAGCACCACGTCGCCCGTACGGCTTCAAAAACTGTCCCGGCGCCCGTAGGATCTTTACGGTAGCCGGCCGGACACCGGCCGAAAATTCCCAAAGTGTCTGTTTTTACTAGCCGTACGGGCCCCGGAGTGTATATGTGAAAGCCCCATTAGCAATCATGCATATACAATTCTATCCCACAACTTTAATGACCTCCTTTACATGAGAATGATGAACACAATTATGAATGAGCAATGAAGATATATTCAATCTTTGTTGGTCCATGCCTCTAATAAGGAGGCTAGCGTGACAAGGAATATGCATTCAGTGGTGAGACTTACTATCCTACAACTTAATGACCTCCTTTACATTTCAATGATGAAAACAAATACGAATGAGCAATGCAGATATCTTCAATCTTTGTTGAACCATGCCTCTAATAAGGAGGCTAGCATGACAAGGAAGATGCATTCAGTGATGTGACTTACCGAGGGATGCTTCATGGTCATTGCCCTTCCATGACTTGTCCATGGTGATGTGTCGCTCCACGACCTTTGCCCCCAAGGCAACGGATGCTAGGGTGATGGAGAGACCCCCTTCGTGACCGGAATAACCAATGGGTATGTCAGGGAAAGCCTCTTGGAATACCTGGAATACAAACAATAGAAAGGTCTTCTAGCTATCAGTGCACAGGGCAATCTATTAAAAACAAATATGCAGAAAGATGCACCATGAATAAAGCAAATTCAACACTCTATATGACCTTCCCCATTTAAACACTATTGTTTTTCATTGACTACATCTGTTTATGTTCGGACATAACCTTCCCTTTGAACAATAATCTATGTACGCTGTAAACAGAAAAAAAATACCTATATATCTGCCTTCTCAAACCATAATGTCTGAACAATTCCATTCTTTTACGGAGGCACACATAAATGCTGTCAAGCTTGAGTATCTTTGTGTAAGTCAGAATATTCATGTTCCCAGTTTTAATAAAACCATATTCTCAATTTCTCCATCTACATTCACCATCTGCTCGCACCCTTTATTTAATTTTCTAGACCTCCTGAAATCTTTTTCATAATTACTCATATTCCTCCTTTTACTTTCTTTCTTCCACATCTCAATCCTTTCTCCATGATGTTATTTTAATTCTTGTTCTATCCTTATTCCTCTTCTCCTTCTTTATCCATTAATTTCTGTCTATTTTGGGGCGATTCTGTTGCATTTCCTCTTTAACTACTCATGGTCCTCCTCCACTTCTTTGCACTCTCCTCTCTTCTGATCATCCATTCTCCACATTCCCAACCATCTCAATCCCATGCTATCAATCAATGACAGATACAGTCAAAACCTGTCTTAGTGGTCACCTCCCTATAAAGGCCACCTGTCTATAGTTGCCAAGTATTTTGTCTCCCTTGAAAGAGAGAAACATGTGTTGTAGAACCTGTCTAGAAAGGCAACCTGTCTACAGTGGCCTCTTTTTCTGTTTCCCGTAAGCGGCCTTTATAGACAGGTTTGACTCTATATGCCTCCTACCTGTATAATCCTGAGGTGGACGTCTTCAGGATGGAGAGGGTAGGCACTGGTGCACTGGAGTATACAGAATTTATCATTGTACTTCTTGCATGTCTCGTAAACCTGCAGGAACACAATCAAATGGGAGGAAGCAGAATTCAAATTTTGAGACAGCTGGTGTCCTAAATCGTATGATGAATAAGATAGTTTATTCCTATCTTTTACAGTACTACATTGTACGTTTCAAGTATATTATCAAAGAACAGGTGAATGCATGTATATTATATACTAAATCAATTTCTAATGAAATAACAATTACATGTACATATTCCCATGTTTAATCAACACTAATCAAATAATAAAGAACTGACAGGCAAATTATTTTCATGCAGCAATTCATAGGTAATACATTTCTCTAAATGATGAATTCCTTGATCTTTAATGTGTTAAGTTATTTGTATTCGATCCCCTTATTATATGATGCATCCTATTCCTAAATTTAAACTAAAATGGAGTACATATTTACAGAAGATACTCCTTTGAATGTAAACTGGTACGTTTCTGATAAGCCATTCAGTCCAATTCAGTTCTCTATTCCACAATAAAATGTCAGTTGAAAGACTTTCTTCATTGATTTGAGTGCTTCATTGATTAGAAATCTAATTTATTATAATAATTGTAAGAAAATTTCTTTGAGGTTTAAAGAAAGGAAATAGCTTTCTTGGTCAATAAAAATAAATAATTTACTATCAAATGAGATTAGGGTAATTTAATTATTTTTTCATTAAAAAAAACATGATACAGTTGTAAAGGGACAAATAATGATATGTCCCCTCCTTTTTTTCAAGCAAAGAAATTGTTCTTAAATTCCTGGAGGGTGTTTGCTATTCTGATTCAAGTCAACAAAAAGGGTAAACATTGTGTACTATTTGAACAGATGTTGGCAAATACTAGTACGATTAGAACAGAATCAAATATGTATTGAGTATAAAATATGTATTGAGTATATTGGAGTTGGGTAGTGCTAGAGTACTACCACTCCCATTTGCAAGGCTTAAACTGTATTTACAATGTTAACTTGAACATTACAATCTTCACAAGTTTTAAGTAGGTGTTATGTTGTATCGTTATGATGCAAATATCCATTCTTTGGACAATATAAATGTATGTAATCGTAACCATTTTCATCAAGCAACATACTTAAAGGTATTCTACAGGTTAGTGATAAGATACACCTAAGATTGTACAATTTATAAAATTAAGAATGCATAATTTTATCTTTTCTGATAGGCATGTTTTATGCAGATTCTCATATTTTGTTGATGATGCTTGCAGGGCATGTACACAGAAAAAACGTACAACAAAGATCAAAGGCACTTAAGATAGTGTTCAAATGTCATCATTCAAAATGGTGGATTTGTAGGGAGTATGGATGGTCCATCTTACCCTTGTCATGGTTTCCATGGACTGCATCCCAGATGATACCACCATAGCTCTATTCATCTTAGCCACCTTCTCAATGTAAGGCAAGTTATTGGTATCCCCTGACCCGACCTTGAAGAAAGGCACGTTGATGGAATCCAGAAATTCAACGGCTTTCTGTTAAAAAAAAGGGAAGAAATAAAGTCCAGTGGATAAGAAGATATTTTCAATGATGTCCGACATATGAGGCAGTAGCTGTCATTTCAACATATTTTTGTCCACAATATGAAAGGGGGGGGGGGGGGGGGGGGGCTATGCCACAGTCTGCCCTGCTAACATTTCACTTGAAATTGACAAAAAATTTCCATTGTATTTTCCTTATGCCTGGTCTGTTCTTATTCCTTAAATTCTTGTATACATGTGAGCTAAACATTTTATCGAAATTCGAGCAAGAACTTTGCCATTTCACAAGAAAAGGTGGCAGTGTCATTTTAACATTGCAAAAAAAAAAGAACCCATGTCTGGGTCATTCCATAAAGTTGGGGCAAAAAATATGACGGTGTCCATGTAACGTAGGTATGAGATCTTCTACTGCACATGGAAGATGAAATAATTTGTTGCAAGATTTGTATGCAATAAATAAATATATATACATGTAGTAGTGCCCTGCCAGAATTGTTCCTGTTTCAGTTGATTTTGTTTAAAATATTTGCTTAATACACATTTCTCTTTTTACCACCGTTACATCGACACCATATTCATATAACATTACATAAACTTTGGGTCCATGATATTGATTCACCATGAAGCTTGAGTAAAGATAGTTGGCTATGCATTTTTATGCAAAACTCAATTTGAGCAAACATTATTACAGTTGATAGGAGACATAGTTTCTCACTTCTGGTATGTCACAAAAACAGCCCCAACTTTCTGGACAGACCCGTCTACGCACTCTTCCACTTGTAGTTCAGGACTTTTGATGTGAAAGATACCAGTTCAAGGTTTGTGAATAAAGAATACTAAACTCAGACATTTCTCACTATTTACTTTTTAATTACTTTTTAATTACTTTTTAATTACTTTTTAATTACTTTTTTACTTTTTAATTACTTTTTATTTACTTTTTATTTTATTACTGAGAGTAATTTTAATAGTTTCATACTATTAATTAAATGTAATGTTAACTGTTATTGTATAATTGTTTTAAATGGGGGCACGTTACAAGAGTCCTATCTCGCACCCCGGGGCAACGTGTCTGACACGGCCGGTTGTAGCAACTACTCCGAAGATCAAGATTACATTAATCTTGATCTAAGGAGACACGAACGAACGAACGAACGAACTTTTTAAAGAATGAATACTAGGGACAAATAACTGATGTTGGCTGCATGTTTTGTTTCATCAGAACCGTGCATTATGCATATGCACAGACAAGGACACTCGAGACATACAATGTACATGTAGTACCCCTTCGTACTCAGATTCTGAACACAGCTAAGATTTACGTCCTCTTTTGTTTCTAAAAAGAGAGAAAGTGTAAGAAAGGGAGGAGTTGGTACACATGTCTTTGCAAGGAGACTTTAAATTAATGTAAACATATACATATCGATGGTCTGAACCATTCTGCCAAATATCTGGTGCTTTCTTTAATGTCATCATTGGGGTGGTTTCAACAGGCCAAGTCGTTTAAAGAAAAATATTTACGCCTACTTCTTCCAGTAAAAAATTTGCCTGTGTTCAGACTCTCATCTCACCTCGTCCATACCCGATGCTGTGAAGTAGATGCCAATCTCTTTGGAGTACGCCTGGAGCTCTCTGTACTGATCATGACTGAACTCTAAGAACCTCTTGTGCTCGCCATAGGTCTTGCCCCAGGAGTGCTTTGATGTGTATGGTTTCTCAAGGGCGGCCTGGTTGAATTTGAAATCCAGCTCGCTCTTCTGGAACTTGGCACAGTCTGCTCCAGCATCCTTAAATGTAATGTAAAATAGAGAGTCCTCGCTTAGTGACTATTTCTTCTCTGGTAAAATAAAAATCTCCATGTAGCTTCACAGTTCAGTGTCAAAGATGCCCAGCTTGTCTGCATGGTGCAACCCTCACCAGTTAAACTAATGGTGGAAATCACACATACATGTACGGTAGCTGTATTACTACCCTGGCTGTGTATTAAAAACTGTTCTATTGATTCTCAACATTTCAAACACCATTGTACAAAACTCAACTTATTTCACTAAAAATCGGTACTTTAGTGACAATTGATGATACCTAAATAGCAGTAAAATACAATTAAATCAATTTACCGATGTTAGAAAGAACGGGTCTAATTTTGGATACGTTTCTGAACCATGTGAACAAGCGCCTAAGTTTGGCAAAGTTTGGTGGGTCGCGTCGTTACCACGAACTCGTAGCTCGTGCAGTTTTTCCGATATAATCATTTTGCCTTCGGCGTAGACTAGAAGGAATGAGATTTAGATGACGTCATACGCAACCCGGCTGCAAGATTTTCTTCATGGATGTCGATCTTGACCCATAATTTTCTGAAGAGGGACGGATTCAAGTAGTCAAGTTGGTAAGTGGAACCGAAGTAGTTAAGCATGTAGCTTATTTTGAACTATAAATAGAAGTCTACATCAGATATGCATCTGGTAAAATATCAAAATTAGGGATTAAGTTTGGCCAAGTTTTGTGTAATGTTTCTTTACACAAACGCGCGTACACTAAAGCGTATAGGGCTGTTCTGTCTCTAAAGAGAGAGTCGACCTTACCGAAATCAGAGGCTATTAAATGAACAACAGAAAAATTCGGTCTACACGGAACCCACACAGTAGCGTCTAATCGTCTATGGTCGGTTTCTGTCTCTAAAGAGAGGATCCAACCCTACCCAAATCAGAGGCTAACGAACGAAAGAGACAGAAATTTCGGTCTAACGTAGAGTAAAGGAGCCGGTAATCGGCCAGCTCCAGTTTTCGGCCGCTTGGTTGGATGCAAGGTAAAATCCCTCTAAAATACATCGCATAATAGCATAACACATATCCCACACATACCATACCATGTCAGTGTCACTGAAGAACCACATTTGCAATGAAAAATATATCCTGAAATATCACGTTTTAGCGATGTAATCGACGGTCCCGCTACCCGAATCTGGAAAAATTGAGTATCTTACGCGTGTCTGTAAGAAATATGGGTACCATAAAATGAGCTTTATTTCAAGTATTTTTCAGATTTAGAGCCCGATTTTGTGCTAGTCGCAACCTCAAAAGTATCTCATCGCATGTATTAAATCAATGCAGCCGCACACCGCAACGCACACACGATATCTCTGTCTAATTCAGATTCCAATATCCGATCACCGCAGTACTAGTTTTCAGCTTGGCGAGCTCCGGGGAGCTCCGGTGTGGGATATCTGCTCCGCCCGCTAGTGCTATAGATCAGCGCGGAAACGCACGGTGCGTGCGCGCGCTTCCTATTGACTTTGTACATGCGGCCGAAAACTGGTACGCTATGCCGAAAACTGACTCCGAAACAGTGAAAATTGAAATGAATAGGTCTATTCATTGTCATGGCAATTCGTGATTTTTTTCTGGGATTCTTGTTTTGTTTAAATAATAATATTTGCTTCATGATTTGAACAAAAAAGGATAATAAATAGGAAGTAAAGGGTCCAAAAAATAGGATTTTGTCTTAAGTGGCCGAAAACCGGCTCCTTTACTCTAGACTTAGGCCCTAACCCAAAGAAGAAGAAGAAGAAGGGTCTAGAAATCTACTAACATTAAAATGAATGCACAGGACCGTTATTGAAAATCTACACGTCATTCATTGACACTTGCCTTCGCTACTTTGATGAGTTGTTTCGCAATGTTGATATCTCCCTGGTGATTTTGTCCAATTTCAGCAATAATGAAACAAGGATGATCGTTTCCGATCATCCTTCCTGGAGCAATTTCAAATTCAAGAGGCATTTTCCACGAAATACGAGGCAGTTTTCGGCTCAGGAGATTTTTAGTGTTCACGCACGAGACTCACAGCGCCAGCGCGCGTCCGTACGGACACGCGGCAGCCCAAGAGCTAGCGGTGCGAGCTCGCGAGTAGTCCGCCCCGGACATTTTTTGTTTTGTTTGTGTTTTATATATATATAACCACTTGTAAAATAATTGTTTACAAATAATGAAAGTCAGTGGGTTACATCGAAATATAATACATAGTAGGAAATGTTTGAAGCGCGATATCATTCTTGTTACAAAAATAAAACAAAATAATAATTTATAGGCAAAAACAAGGAAATTGCACATTACCTCTTCTTGACAAAACTTAGCACTGTATATGCATCAAGCTTGTTCAATGTGCATGTATATTAAAGACAATTTGTTTACAGGGGAAGTCACCCTGATATTAAGTTGGTTTTTAAAAGAAGCAGAAAATTGAAAATTGAGAAAATTCCAATTCAAACTATAAGAAAGTTTTTGATGACGGAATCGATTTTTTCCATACAGGGGTACGTTGAGTTGAAACATATTTTCAATCATTTTCATGCAGGTGCATAATTATGATTGTTAATTTCCCGGTGAGGGAAAATAGACATTTCTGATTTTATTTGTTTAGGCCATTAAAAAAAATATACATGTTAAGCGTCCCCGCCCGCTTCCTTTTGGTGGCCGCCTCTTATTTTTGTTGTTGTTGTTGTTGTTGAAACTTTTGATTTTTTTTTTTTTTTTTTTTTAAAGCCGAAAAAAAACATGAAAAACACTTCAAAAATGGATCTATTTCTGATTAAAAAAAAAAAAAAAAAAAAAAGTCGGCGGCCATCTTGAAAAAATAGCCCGACTGTCAGGGAAAATGTACCGAGCGGCCATTTTGAGCGGCCATTTTGAAGGAACTAAAAAAGAAAAAAAAAGGGCCTCCTCCTTCCTATTTTTCGAAAAAACAGGACGCTAAACATGTTTTTTTTTATTTGGCCTTAGTACAGACTACTACTACAGATCAATTGGGAAGGGAGTTCGCAAGATACGTCACAGAGTTGCCAGTTTGTGTTTGATTAATTGCAACCTAAAAAAACAACTCATAACTTTTTATTTCATTTTAATCGGAATTTGCTCAAATTTCACAGACCTGTTCCTCTCATTTTCTACTTCTATTAAGAGTTTAAAACCAGCTTGATATCAGGAATTGAGGAAACTCGGTGTGATACTATAGAACCCTCTTATTTTTTTAATTGTCATCGTTTTTCTGCAAACAAGAATTCCCATTTCATTATTTAGGTTGCAATATGGCATGGGTTGGCAATCTTATTTTTAAATAAACAATTTCAAATTTTAAGTAACACTTCATATATAGTTGAACAGGTATCTCACCATGATATAGTTGTGGCTGATAGCCTTCTAAGACAGGTTCGGTTAAAGATAAACTTGACTTCTGGTAATGCGATTGCATTGTGAAAGAAAAGGTGTGGAATGGATCAGAAAAGTTGATCATATAGCATGTAAGTAATGGTGTGTAATGCAAGGTTCTGGAGTCATCAAAATCATCATAAATTTGGCAGAGTCTTGGTAAAGTAACAATCACTTACACAGAAAGATGTATATGGGACAACACACATGGTGTCGGGGCTAGTCACTACCCTGATTTCCTTATCTTTCTATGCTCATTACTCAGCCAGTATACGTTTTTTCCAAAATTGTTTGGCACATGACATTTATTTGTAATCTTGAACATTCAGTGTAAGTTTCGTTAGATTCTGTGAGAATTATTTTTCTTTTTTTTTTACCAGAACTCAAGTTTATCTTTAAAGTTGCTCAAGCGTGGGTATATAGAGGGCAGCACACGGACGTACGCACTAGAGTACCTATATATAATTATATATAGGTACTCTAGTACGCACGGGAGCGTAATACCCATTGGCTCAGTGAATTGTAGTGATCGCCAAGTTACCTACTTCACGAACGATTAATACCTGCCAAACACACCAAAACACGCCAAAAGATTCACACTTCGTTTTGGAATGTTTCGGGCTTGGCATTTCTGCCGGTAAAGCGTAGTTGCCCTTGTAACATCGCGGTCAGGCTCCGGTTTGGCATTTTTTGGCGTGTTTGGAAGACAGTGTAATATTAGTTCTCCTGTAAAAAAAACCCTGTTACGACCTAAGTTAGAGTACTGCTCAACAGTATGGAACCATCTTGAATAAGGACAAGGATAAGTTGGAAAAGGTGCAGAGAGACTCAGAGTAGTTGCGCGACGTGCGCGAACAAGCACTTCATGAATTTCAGAATAATTTTTCGTTATTTTGCAAGGTATCATTATAGCCCAGACGTAAAGTGCGCGAGCGCTTTAAAAGTGCAATCATGATTGTACAGTAGATGCCCGGCTCCCCCCCCCACACAGTGTTATTTAGGGTACGCGTATGCTCGTTCCCTCCCTTTGAAAGCACCCCCCTATCTCAGGACTGCCAACATTTCTGAATTTCCCTTTCGCCGGCTTTTCGCTGGCTTTTCGCTGGCTTTTCGCTGGCTTTCCCTGCTAAAATGTACCACCCCCCCCCCAATTCCAGGTGAGCTCTAGTCAATCGAGACGGGGACTGGGGGCCAATGTTTTTAATTTTGAAAGTGAAATAATCCTGAATGAGTTTTCAAAGCTAGCAGGAATTTCAGGAATTTGATCCCGGGATTTGATCAATTTTTCTATGATATTCAAGATATTTTATAACCCCCTTTTTATATTTCTCAGGAGTCCAAAGAGAGAGAGAAAAAAGGAAAAACCTTTTTTACAATTCTCGGGCCAGATTTCGTCGCGCGAAAAAGTACCTCTTTCCTGGAGATTTTAGGAACGCGCATGCGGTCCCTCCGACCCCGGAGTGGGGGGGGGGGGGGGGGGGTAGATGAAGACTAAAGTTCCATACCTGGCGTGTTCAAGACTTACAGTGGCCGTTTGTCCCTTCAGTCATTTCAAGGTAAGCCTTGTTTGTGTAGGTCTATGAATGAATGAATTAGTTGTTTATATTGAATGAATTGAATTGAATTCAGATAAATAGGGCTTAATAAAAGTCGAAAACGGTGCAACGAATCGTCTTCTTTCTATAATAATTAAATCAAACGTCTGAGCTTTTCGTGCTTCGCGCGGGAAGGAGGAAACTGAAATCAGACAAGGATTAAGAGTCGAGAACAGTACACCCAATCGTCTGCTTTCTCTAATAATTTAAGGAAACGTCAAGGTTTCCGTGCTTCGCGCGAAAGGGGGAACTGAATTCAGATAAATAGGGCTTATTAAGTGTCGAAAATGATACAACGAATCGTCTGCTTTCTCTAATAATTTTAATGAAACGTCAAAACTTCCGCGCTTTGCGCGGGAGGGGGAAACCAAATTCAGACAAAGATTAAGAGTCGAGCACGGTTTATCAAATCGTCTACTTTCTCTAATAATTTATTGAAATGTCAAAAGCTTCCGCGCTTCGCGCGGGAGAGAGAGAGAGAGAGAGGGAGAAACTGAATTGATACAAGGATTAAGAGTCGAGCACGTTTCAACGAATTGTCTACTTTCTCTAATAATTTAATGAAACGCCAAAACTTCCGCGCGGGAGAGGGGAGGGGTCGGGGAGGAACTGAATTCAGACAAGGATTAACAGTCGAGAACGGTACAGCAAATCGTCTTCTTTTTATAATAATTTAATGAAACACCAAAGCCTTCGCGCGGGAAGGGGGTGGGATTCATTCAGACAAGGGTTAACAGTCGAGAACGGTACAATAAATCGTCTTCTTTTCCTAATAATTTAAGGAAACGTCTAAACTTCCGCGCTTCGCGCGGTAGGCCTACCACCCACACCCTCCTAATGAGCGCGCTTCGCTCGCTCTTTGAGTGATTCGCCTGCTCACTACCGCCTCTCTCTAAAATGAGATCCTAGCTCCCCGCCTGCATTAAAATATATAGCTATGATGCTGACTAAGTTTACGAAATAATTCGTATATTTATGTCGTCGAGGAAAATGACCATTTGCGCATACGCAATTAAGCCTTCGGCCCCGGGTTTATAGGGTAAAATTTGTAAATATTGGGACATTTAATTTTGTCGGTAATTGGGGGCTAGTTTTGTCGGTAATCGTTGGCCTCTACACCCCCTCCCCACACTAAAAAAGGTCTAGCGACGCCCCTGACCATTAGTCATCATTTTCTAAGTGATGGGTCTTAAAATAAAGAGTTCGCATCTTCCTGACGAAATACTCAATCTTTATGTTACTACTTGAAAGTGTGTCGTCTTATTTCGGAGTTCATTATATTAACACTACAGTTTGCAGCTGTCAGTATTTCGAAATATGTCCAATTTTTTAACTTTATGGTTGTCAAATTTGGCATGTGCGTGCATGTATGTATGCATGTATAAATTTGTGTACATGTGTTTGGGTGTGTGTGTGTTTGTTGTTTGCGTGTGTGTGTGTGTACGGACCCAGGTAATAGGTAGTATTATTATTTTGAAATTTCCGCAATCAAAATGATAGAGAGACCTGCCAATCAATTCATTATAAAAAAAAATCACGCCGTGCACGGTTCCAAAAAGTTTGTAGATTGCCCTTGAAGAATCGTTAAAAAAAAAAGAATAATTTCGAAAAAAATGTTTTTTTTTTAAATAAATAATTTTATTTAAAAAAGTCACATAGTTTATATGAAGCGAGTAAACATGTGTTTCCGATTATCGAGATTTCTTCATTTGACAAACATACTAACTGTACGTCGATTTATTTATATAAAGAAAACCAGTTAATATGGAAACCCTGGTAAAATAAATGTATCTCAGGGGTGGTGGAGCATCATTAAAAGGGAGGAGGCACTAGCATCAAGGACACTCTGAAACACACACAGAGGAAAAACCCACAAAGTGTGGACACAAAGCAGGAAAAACCAAAATTTTAGACATTGAAAACTCCACATTCTAGTTATCAAAGATCATCGTCGTCATCGTTTCTATCTTCACATGAATATGGATGTAGGTATAGTGCTTCCACGTCATGCTTTGTCGCTGTGTGTAATGCTCTTACGATTCAGTAGGTAGCAACGCGACGAAAGGCAAAGAGGACGGGAGAATTCACTCAACCGAGACAAATAATGTATGCAGTTCGGATTCTGTCTATTGAAATACTGTTATGCTTATCAGGTGAATAAAATATTTTGTATTGAGCCACTTCACAAAGACTTATGCATTAAAATTGGGTTACATTACAAAAATGGTCTATTGTACGGCGATACAACTCCTCCGTCGAGTTTAGAAAACGAACGTTATTATGTTATTATGGCTAAAGCCCCTATCACACCGAATCTGCGTAATGTGGCGTACCGACTACGCCGACATTGGGCTGCGTATTCATGAAAAAAATGTTGCTTCAGCGTAGTCCCTGCGTAAGTTATGCGTAGGCTGGCGAGCTGGAGTCGCCAAGAGAAACTTTTGTTTTAAAAAGTATGCATACAATTTGTTCAAAAGTCCATTGAAAAGCGGGATTATTCGCACCCCATGACTAAATCTTCAAGGCCCTTCAAGACTTGTTATCAATTACAAGTACCAACATGCTGTAACAAAAAAAAAAACCCCAGCACATTGACAAATGCAAGGATTTCTGTAGCATATACTATTATCAGATATTCTACTTTGTCAAGTTTCAAGTTTCAAGTTTCAAGTTTCAAGTTTATTTATTTCACTTTATCAAAGATAACATAATTGAACATAATTGGTAATTATTATAACTAAACATACAATATAGAAAACATAATGTACATGATAATAGTTATAACAGAGAATACAATCATATAAATCAAAACAAAGTGGGGGATCTACTAAAAAGTATTATGTAGGTCCCGGTTCATAGGTTTATATATAAATTAGGGTATCTGAATTAACATATTTACAAAAGCATATGATTACACGAGGGTTATCTATAAGTGACACATTTTACTAAACGTATCGTAAACAATTGAAGTTCTGTGCTTTCCTCAGCATAAACAAATATATCATTATATACATTAAATAAAATGAGCAGTGCTTATTTTATCACTACTTGTGTGGAGAGAAAGACTAATTGCAAGGAAAACAATTTAGAAAGGAGAACAGGTACGTAAGGAAAGATGATTAACGAGAATTGAAAGAAAGACAACATTTTTTTTTAATGGGACGAGAAGTGAGAACGTTGTGAACAAGCGGGAAAGAAAAGAAAAAGAGAGAGAGCTAGAGGGAGGGGCACAGATATTAGGGAAGAATTAGCAAGTTGATACATAAAATTACCAAGATTGTAGGAGTATAAATCATTAATTTTCAGGGATTTGCTTTGGTGGAATAACAGGCTGGTGTGAGCACGATATCTTTTGTTAAAAATTATTCTCATTGCTCTATTTTGCAAGAGGTGTATTTTATTTAGGTTAGATCTATTGCAGTTACCCCAGGCAAGAATACCATAGTTCAATATAGATACAATCAGAGTGCAGTACAATGTATGAAGGGTCTTCCAGGGGGAAAAATGATTCAGTTTATTAATAACACCAATGTTTCTAGATACTTTTTGGCAAAGGAACTGTGTTTGTGTTTTCCATGACAGTTGGTCGTCGATCAGGACACCCAAACATCTAGTTGATTCAACCTTATTTATGGCCAGATCATTCATGATTATATTTCCTGGTATTGTATGAAGAGTATTACTGAAAAGCATAACATTGGTTTTGTCTAGATTTAAAGAAAGTCTATTGGCTCTAATCCATTTAGCCACGTTGTTTAATTCAGTATTTACAATTTGTATTAGTTGATGTGGGTCTTGATGAGAAAAGAATATATTTGAATCGTCCGCAAACAATATAAAAGTTAATATTTGCGATGATATATAGAAGTCATTGACATAGATGATAAAGAGTAGTTGACCGAGGATCGGGTCGGTCGGGTATAAAAAATAATGTGTTTGGATTAGGTTCCGGCAAGAAATCTGAATACGCTAGGAATCATTCGTGATAGTGAATTGCCGATGTTAACAAAATAGTCATTAAATGACTCTACAATTACTTGCTTATCGTCTCTATTGTGACCTTTTATCCTGATTGAGTGGACTTCTTCTTTATTAGTATTCTTGTTGAGAACACGATTAATAACTTTCCATGTGGCATTCAAGTCATATCTATTAGTATTTATTTGAGAATCAAAGTATTTGTTCTTTTCATTCCTTAAAAGAGTAGTAAGAATGTTTTTATATTTTGTGTATTTTACTCGAGTTTGTGGAGATGGATTATATTTATATTCGTAATACAGGCTGTTGTTCTTTTTGATACATTTTATTAGAGATTTGGTGACCCATGGCGATCGTGGGGTCTTTTTGTAATTAGACTCGTTAGGTGTTTGCTCTGGAATAACGTCATCATAAACATTCATCAATATATGAATAAATGTGTTAAAAGATTCATTACAGTTTTGTATCGCCAGTACTTCTTCCCAGTCGATTTGGCTTAGTCTATCTTTGAGGCGAATAATGTTTTCTGTGTTCAGTCTCCTTGTTTTTCTGCGGGGTGATTGTACTGACTGAAAGGAATCCGAAATATTAGTAAAGATGTGGGTATGGGGGGGATGTTTGTAAATATGTGATATATTAGTGTTGCTGATTGATCTGTGTTCCGGGTTGGTCTGGCAATGAGAGGAACAAAAGAATTGGAAAGTAACAAATCCAGGTAATCATTAGTAAGATGTTCGTCGCGGTTAATAAGGTCAATATTAAGGTCACCCGTGAGAAAACAATGTTTGGAGTTAAATATAGGTTGATCCATTAAAGTCTGATATTCTTCCAAAAAAACGTCAGAGTTACAATTGGGTGGTCTATAAAATACACCGATTATTATTCCTTGTTTTTCTGTAGTTAATATTTCGATAAATAGGGATTCAGTGGTTGGTGACATAACATTAATTTCCGTGAGAATTTTGAATTTATATCTTTTGGAGATATACATGGCTACTCCTCCCCGTCTGGATTGTCTACTGTTTGTAATTAGGGTGAAACCAGGCAATGTTAGGAGTGGGCAAGGGTTTTCTGTTAACCAGGTTTCAGAGAGACATACGACGGAAACATTGTTACTAATTTTATCGAGTAACGTATGAAGTTTTCGAAATTTCTGTTCAGGTTTCTGATGTTAAAGTGCATGATAAAGAATCTATTTTTTAAAGTGTTCATTTCATTGACAAATTGATTTTCGGTATAATATTGATCTGTTATGTTTGGTACATAATCATTTTCATCAAAATTGTATTCTAAACTGAGTTGGTTTCTATAGAAAAATGCAGCTACTGTTATCATAAATGTGATTGTGTATGTCCGGGGCATTGGTATCATATTGCACAGTTAAGTGATTGGAATTCGATGTCGTTTACCTCATTAAAAGGAAATATGTTTGAGTCAAGGCTCATGTCATTGTCATCATCATCATCATGAAGCCCTACAGAGAAAATAGAGTCATTTTCGTCAACATGTACAAAAGGCAATATATCTGTAAATGAACTATCCATGGCGATCTGAAAAGGATGATCGCGTACATTGATAATGTACGCATATTTTTTGAAATGCCGGCAGAGTCCCCATAGGTGAATGAGAAGAAGTGAGAGATGCTAGAAAGGAGAGATACAAATGAATGAAGCAGTACAGTATGAATAATACGGAAAATAAAATAAACTGAGTAAACTGAGTAAACTGACGGAACACGAGATACATCTAAATAATAATAATAATATATAGAGTACTCATATTGCTCCGTTTAGTCTCATTTCACGACGCCCCCTATCGTCAGAGCATGGTTTGAGCCAGCAGCCTAACATGTTAGCCTATGGACGTTTTTTTTTAAATCGTTAAAAATTCATTTTTTTGTTTAAACGAAAAGCACATCCACCCCGACGTACGTTATCACTAGCTCTTTCATTGGAGCCCTCATGTCTCATTGACTTTTGAAAGTTCACCCACCGTAATTTTTCAAAATAGGTTGCAAGCTCGTCATTGCCTATAATACACATGTGAAACAAGTCTAACTTTGTACTCAGTTTGCCAAGCGATTTGAAGATTATAGGTCGAGCACACGAAACATAAAAAGCATGAATTATCATAGATCACTTCTGCCTATTTCATTATGTCCATTTCATCCAACCCCCCACCGTAATTTTTCAATTTAGTAAATGCAAACATTTAGCCGAGGTAAGCAAAAACATGAATATTCATGACGGTCAGACAATATAGCCTTTTAGTTACGTAACGTATAATGAATGGGAATGTGCGATGATCCGTACAGGAGATAGAGGTCAGTGGTTTGTGCTGGCAATGTTCACGCGAGCGAAAATGAGACAATCGGAGCAATATGAGTAATGCGCCAACTCCTCATGACTAATGTGTTCGAGGCGCATGGAGAAGAAAAACTATAAGTACACAAAAATACACACAAAAATGAACAACGACAACGACAATTATGTAAGCAATAGCGATGGACCATTTTGTTGTGAACAAGTAACATTTCACGTAAACCATTATAGAGCTGTTAATAAATAATAATAGATTCTATTAGAGCTGTTTGTGTAAAAGCAACTATAGAAAGGCCAAAACAGGAGGATCACCTGAAAAACAGTAGTTTACATCGTTGTCATTCAAACAAAATGCAAGGGAGGAAAATGTAATTAAATGATTCATCATATATGAGCGTTCCCATGTGTGTAGATAGGGAATTTAGGTTCACGAAAGTCACTGATAATACTCTTAATGAAACAGGGACGCAATGGAAGCCTGCTATTATTTCCATTCATACCATTCCATTTACAAAGTGCAACGGTGCCTATCAATTGTCATATTCTTTTATTCTTGCTTGCTATACTTTTGCACTGTTTGCGTGCATAATGTGAGTTGCATTTGAAACTGAACGTGCAAATCACTGCCAAATGCGAAGTAGTTTGAAGTTGGACAATATACCACTCAGCTCCATCTTGATTGCGTCTGAAGCACCAATGAGGAGTAGCCTAGATATTGATAAATTAATAATCTTTCGACAAAGTTTTCATTATCGAGCGAGTCTCTCCGTTGTCAACGTTCTTTTGGAATTGTTATTACGACGGTTAGAGTAGCAGCCGACGTCTAGCTTGGGTGAGATTGTGTTTTTTTTAATGGAATATGGCAAATGTGGAATTTTTAACACGAAAGTGAGATAAAAACGTAAAAAAGAGTGTAAGTGGGTTGGCTATATAGTTTGGATGTATGTCTAAGTTTGCGAGAAAAAGTGTTAGAGGCAAACAGGACTAGAAATGAAGGTGATATAATTTTCTAATGTGTGTGAAGCGGAATGAAGCAGTATATCTATTTCTATTTTCTTCCATATATTAACCTGATGCTCATATTAAGATAAGTATGTAGTAGATCCTCTCTTTCTCTTCCCCCTCTGCTTTAGTTCTCTCTTAGTTTCTCTCTCTTCCCCCTCGTTTATATACATGTCCTTCTGAACATCTAGATTTCAATGTTTTTATATATAAATGATATAGCAAACAATTTTGTTGTATTCATCAAATTTATTTCTCAAAATTCCAATTCCTTTTCGTACAGAAAAACTATAGTAGTAAATAAAACTCGTATTAAAGATACTGTGTCCCTTTTGCAGCCAACATCAAATTCTGTAGAACTTTGCAGGAATTATGAATATGTCATGTTTGGCCTATCTGTGAAATTTAAACGTAAGCAGTGTCCTAATATTCAAATTATGCAAGGAAACTCGTTTACTTGCTAGACTTCACTGTCGGACACTATTGAGTGACTGACTGGCTTTTTTCTCTTTGGTAATAACTTACATAAAATGAGCTGTAGTAGTAGTAGTAGTATTTATTTCTGTATAAAAACATAGTAACAATGCATACAATACGGTGGATAGCTCACATTCAGCTAACCCGACATGGGAAAGCTGGACTTCCGTGGGGTCCGGAACAATTACATAAACAAAACAGAACATAAATACATATCTGAACAACAGTAAATACATTTTGAAAAAAAAGAAGTAGTATAAAATAAAGGGAAAAAAACATTTCATAAAAAAAAAGTAATCATAACAAGTTAAGGAGGGGGGACCATGTGCTTCTGTAACAGTTCTGCGATCTTAGATTTGAATGTAATAACACTAGGGGACGATTTGATATGAGGAGGAAGTGTGTTGTAGGCCTTTGCGTTTCTATACTTGAATGATCTTTTGAGGTAATTTGTTCTCGGTTTGGGTAATTTTATTTGAGCTCCAATTCGGGAAGGGTCGGAATAGGTTCTCAACTCAACTCAACTGTAAAGGGTACATGGGCATTCGTCTACATCAATAACCCACATCTTGTAATGGCCCAAATTAAACTGATTGAATCTTTGCGCAGCATAAAACGTACGACCACTCGGTACAATGGTCTGAAAATCGGACAATTACTTATAGCTCTAGATCTAGGCCATCAAATCTCGTAATTAAAGACGAATCTTTTATTCTTGAAATTCTAACCCTGTGAAGTCAACTAAAATACAAGGGCACCCAGGTCAATTTCGAATGGATTCCCAGTCACTGTGGTCTACACCACAATGAGATAACAGATTAGTTTGCTAAAGCAGGACAAAAATTAGAAAAAATATAGAAATCAACAACGCTCTTACCAGAGCAGAACCAGATAATTTCTTACTGGCTCTAGGCCATAGAATCTCGTAAAGACGAATCTTTTATTCTTGAAATTCTAACCCTGTGTAGTCAACTAAAATATAAGGGCACCCAGGTCAATTTCGAATGGATTCCCAGTCACTGTGGTCTACAACACAACGAGATACCAGATTAGTTTGTTAAAGCAGGACTAAATTAAAAAAATATAGAAATCAATATCTCTCTTACCAAAGCAGAATCAGACAATTACGTACTGGCTCTAGGCCATAGAATCTCGTAAAGACAAATCTTTTATTCTTGAAATTCTAACCCTGTGTAGTCAACTAAAATACAAAGGCACCCAGGTCAATTTCGAATGGATTCCCAGTCACTGTGGTCTACACCACAATGAGATAACAGATTAGTTTGCTAAATCAGGACAAAAATTAGAAAAAATATAGAAATCAACAACGCTCTTACCAGAGCAGAACCAGATAATTACTTACTGGCTCTAGGCCATAGAATCTCGTAAAGACGAATCTTTTATTCTTGAAATTCTAACCCTGTGTAGTCAACTAAAATATAAGGGCACCCAGGTCAATTTCGAATGGATTCCCAGTCACTGTGGTCTACAACACAACGAGATACCAGATTAGTTTGTTAAAGCAGGACTAAATTAAAAAAATATAGAAATCAATATCTCTCTTACCAGAGCAGAATCAGACAATTACGTACTGGCTCTAGGCCATAGAATCTCGTAAAGACAAATCTTTTATTCTTGAAATTCTAACCCTGTGTAGTCAACTAAAATACAAAGGCACCCAGGTCAATTTCGAATGGATTCCCAGTCACTGTGGTCTACACCACAATGAGATAACAGATTAGTTTGCTAAATCAGGACAAAAATTAGAAAAAATATAGAAATCAACAACGCTCTTACCAGAGCAGAACCAGATAATTACTTACTGGCTCTAGGCCATAGAATCTCGTAAAGACGAATCTTTTATTCTTGAAATTCTAACCCTGTGTAGTCAACTAAAATATAAGGGCACCCAGGTCAATTTCGAATGGATTCCCAGTCACTGTGGTCTACAACACAACGAGATACCAGATTAGTTTGTTAAAGCAGGACTAAATTAAAAAAATATAGAAATCAATATCTCTCTTACCAGAGCAGAATCAGACAATTACGTACTGGCTCTAGGCCATAGAATCTCGTAAAGACGAATCTTTTATTCTTGAAATTCTAACCCTGTGTAGTCAACTAAAATACAAGGGCACCCAGGTCAATTTCGAATGGATTCCCAGTCACCGTGGTCTACACCACAATGAGATAACAGATTAGTTTGCTAAAGCAGGACAAAAATTAGAAAAATATAGAAGTCAACAACGCTCTTACCAGAGCAGAACCAGATAATTACTTACTGGCTCTAGGCCATAGAATCTCGTAAAGACGAATCTTTTATTCTTGAAATTCTAATCCTGTGTAGTCAACTAAAATATAAGGGCACCCAGGTCAATTTCGAATGGATTCCCAGTCACTGTGGTCTACAACACAACGAGATACCAGATTAGTTTGTTAAAGCAGGACTAAATTAAAAAAATATAGAAATCAACATCTCTCTTACCAGAGCAGAATCAGACAATTACGTACTGGCTCTAGGCCATAGAATCTCGTAAAGACGAATCTTTTATTCTTGATATTCTAACCCTGTGTAGTCAACAAAAATACAAGGGCACCCAGGTCGATTTCGAATGGATTCCCAGTCACTGTGGTTTACACCACAATGAGATAACAGATTAGTTTGCTAAAGCAGGACAAAAATTAGAAAAAAATAAATATAGAAATCAACAACGCTCTTACCAGAGCAGAATCAGACAATTACGTACTGGCTCTAGGCCATCAAATCTCATAAAGACGAATCTTTTATTCTTGAAATTCTAACCCTGTGTAGTCAACTAAAATACAAGGGCACCCAGGTCAATTTCGAATGGATTCCCAGTCACTTTGGTCTACAAGACTACAACACAATGAGATAACAGATTAGTTTGCTAAAGCAGGACTGAATTAGAAAAAAAAAATAGATATCAACAACGCTCTTACCAGAGCAGAATCAGAAAATTACGTACTGGCTCTAGGCCATAGAATCTCGTAAAGACGAATCTTTTATTCTTGAAATTCTAACCCTGTGTAGTCAACTATAATACAAGGGCACCCAGGTCAATTTCGAATGGATTCCCAGTCACTGTGGTCTACACCACAATGAGATAACGATTAGTTTGCTAAAGCAGGACAAAAATTAGAAAAAATATAGAAATCAACAACGCTCTTACCAGAGCAGAACCAGATAATTACTTACTGGCTCTAGGCCATAGAATCTCGTAAAGACGAATCTTTTATTCTTGAAATTCTTACCCTGTGTAGTCAACTAAAATACAAGGGCACCCAGGTCAATTTCGAATGGATTCCCAGTCACTGTGGTCTACACCACAATGAGATAACAGATTAGTTTGCTAAAGCAGGACAAAAATTAGAAAAAAATATAGAAATCAACAACGCTCTTACCAGAGCAGAACCAGATAATTACTTACTGGCTCTAGGCCATAGAATCTCGTAAAGACGAATCTTTTATTCTTGAAATTCTAACCCTGTGTAGTCAACTAAAATACAAGGGCACCCAGGTCAATTTCGAATGGATTCCCAGTCACTGTGGTCTACACCACAATGAGATAACAGATTAGTTTGGTAAAGCAGGACAAAAATTAGAAAAAAATAAATATAGAAATCAACAACGCTCTTACCAGAGCAGAATCAGACAATTACGTACTGGCTCTAGGCCATCAAATCTCATAAAGACGAATCTTTTATTCTTGAAATTCTAACCCTGTGTAGTCAACTAAAATACAAGGGCACCCAGGTCAATTTCGAATGGATTCCCAGTCACTTTGGTCTACAAGACTACAACACAATGAGATAACAGATTAGTTTCCTAAAGCAGGACTAAATTAAAAAAATATAGAAATCAACAACGCTCTTACCCGAGCAGAATCAAACTATGTTATTAAGAAATACTACATAGCGATATGGCACAAATGATGAAATGAAACATCATCCCCCCTACGGGAAACGCAAACTCTAGTATAAAAAAACATGTGTGTGTTACTTAATTGAACAACAGAAGTAACGAAACTATTTTCCATCGCCTAAAGCTAAAGTCCCATATACGTCCCGGACCGTCCCGGACCATCCCGGACCCCATCCGGGGTGATCCGGGATTCGGTCCGTGTTGACACCGTGTTGGCACCGGGGTGGTCCTGGATGGTCCTGGATGGTCCTGGATGGTCCTGGGCGGTCCGGGAGTCGACCCCGGATGTTTTTGACGGTCAAAAACTGCCGGGGTGGTCCGGGACGGTCCGGGACAATAGTTTGATCCGGGGTGATCCGTGTAGCCACCGTGCTGGGTCCGGGGTCATCCGTAGTGGCGCCGGGGCGGTCCGTGTTGATCCGTGGCAGTCCGGGAGTGAGTTATTGACCGCCCAGGACCATCCAGGACCATCCAGGACCATCCAGGACCACCCCGGTGCCAACACGGTGTCAACACGGACCGAATCCCGGATCACCCCGGATGGGGTCCGGGATGGTCCGGGACGGTCCGGGACGTATATGGGACTGTAGCTTTTAAAGCATCACACTTTTTTGAACAAAACATCCCGGACCATCCCGGATCACCCCAGACCATGGTCCAGGATGGTCCGGAGTGGTCCGTGCTCGTCCGTGCTGGTCCGGCTTTATATGGGACTGGGGCTTTAGAATGGGAAAGTTCGGTAATGATGAATTACAAGTATCATCACGCCATTCTAAATCAACGGTAAACCCGGGGATGGCGGTGGCTTGACCTTTTTAAAGGTACTATGTCCCATTTGCAGGCCAACAAATTCAGTATTGAGTTATAAGGGCCTAATTTGAGAAACTGTCCCCAGAATCCCTATCATTTGTAGCCATTTCTCTACTGGGGTCTGGGGATCTTGAATGTCAATGAGTTAGAATTAGGAGGAGAGAGATACGTTTAGTATCTAGTGTCTCCATATTAGTGTGTGTTTGACATGGACTTAATAGCAGTGGCCTGTGGATACATTTGATGCAGTGATAACAGTAGATGTTGCTACATCAAATCTACCCTGGTTCGAAGATTTTGTCTAAATTTACTTTCATTCCATGAATACTATCAAGTTGATCTTAATACTGGGGAGTTGCAGCAGAATAAAACAAGTTCTACAAGTGAGGAGTGAAATCTGAAAAGGCACAGTATTCTTATCCCTTCAAGCCCCAGTCCCATATAAAGCCGGACCAGCACGGACGAGCACGGACCACTCCGGACCATCCTGGACCATGGTCTGGGGTGATCCGGGATGGTCCGGGATGTTTTGTTCAAAAAAGTGTGATGCTTTTAAGCTACAGTCCCATATACGTCCCGGACCGTCCCGGACCATCCCGGACCCCATCCGGGGTGATCCGGGATTCGGTCCGTGTTGACACCGTGTTGGCACCGGGGTGGTCCTGGATGGTCCTGGATGGTCCTGGGCGGTCAATAACTCACTCCCGGACTGCCACGGATCAACACGGACCGCCCCGGCGCCACTACGGATGACCCCGGACCCAGCACGGTGGCTACACGGATCACCCCGGATCAAACTATTGTCCCGGACCGTCCCGGACCACCCCGGCAGTTTTTGACCGTCAAAAACATCCGGGGTCGACTCCCGGACCGCCCAGGACCATCCAGGACCATCCAGGACCATCCAGGACCATCCAGGACCACCCCGGTGCCAACACGGTGTCAACACGGACCGAATCCCGGATCACCCCGGATGGGGTCCGGGATAGTCCGGGACGTTCCGGGACGTATATGGGACTGTAGCTTTAGATGATCTATTTCTCCATCAATATAGATAGAATCGTGCACCAATCTGCCACTCATATCTTTAATTGAAAACTGAAAAATAAAACAGACAGCATGTAATTGTGTCTTTTATTTTGCAGAAAAAGATGTAGCAGTTTCATTACCGGTGAAGCTTAGAACTGTACAAATCGCTATCAAGTGTGGCAGTCAACAGATAGCTTCTCAGAAACAAGGTAAGTTTATTGAAAGAACTAAAGGGCTAAAGCAGTTCACATTACCTCCTACTGATATTTGAATAGATATTTGAACTATTCAACAACAAAACAGTCATGAATCTTGTTTTATTCTCTCTTTTTTTTCTAGCTTTCACAGATCAATTATTCTAATTTTTCTACTTTAATTGAAACCAATGTAATATCAAGGTGAACTTCTCCGTTGATAGATAAAGCACAAATTCATTGTATGCCTAGTTTCCAGCACTACTTTGTCTTGATATAATATGGGAACTTGGGATGGTATTACAAATGAATATGGAAGTAGACACAGCATTTGCTACAAAATCTTGGGCAAGGGGCTTTGACCAATTGTGAACCATGAAAAGATACAAAATGTCAATTAGCAGAATGGTAGTATTTATTATGCAGCTTTAGTTATGACATGAACATACTAATTTAAGTTTTAGGTTTCGTATTGAATATATTATAGCTGTTTATTCTTTTCTTTTCTCAGTATCCATTCACTTTGGCGATGAACAGCACATTAAGACAGAGCACGGGGCGGCTAAGCCAGTACAGACTGAGGATACTGTCCCTAGTAGAGGAAAATTAGTTACCCTGCTACTTTTCCATAACACCAAGATTCCAAGGAGGTAAAGAACTCCATTCAGCATGTGTATATAATTGTGACCAATGCAGGTAGTCGTTTCGTAGAAAGGCTTTAATAGTTGCCCACTTACGCAAAGTTCAAAATAATAACATGACTCCCTAAGAAATGATAGAGAAACTTGAGGAACTGAAAAGTACAAAAAGACCATAAAAGGAAATAAGCCGGATGAAACAATCCTTCCATCTGAGACAAAAGCTCTGAGACATCCATGCCGCAGTGAAGCAAGAGGGCAAACATCAAGACAGCAGGTCGCAAGGAGGAAGAAAAGAGATATAGGAGATATGCAGGAAGTGAAAGAACAAACAAAGCAAGTTGGAGAAAAGGGTGAAGAAAATCTCATTCTAATGAGAGAAGTAGAACTTGTATTAGAAGATAGAGAAAGAGAAACCTCAGCAACGATGCCCATGTCAGAGTCAGAGATCAGTGAAGCTGAACTAGAGGAGGAGACTGGCAATGCATTAGCGATATCAGAGAGGGATGAGGGCCAGGGACATGCTGCTGAGCGGGTAGAAGAAAATCAAGATGCCTCTACCGACCCTGTTATTGGAAAGAAAAGGAAAAGACAGACAGCTGACTTGAAGGTCCAAGAATCACAGGAGGGAACATGTGAGCCAAGTGAAATGATTGAACAAAAGGCAATCCATGAAACTGCAGAAAAAGAAACAAAGGATATTGGAGAAAAGGGTGAAGAAAATCTCATTCTAATGAGAGATGTAGAACTTGTATTAGAAGATAGAGAAAGAGAAACCTCAGCAACGATGCCCATGTCAGAGTCAGAGATCAGTGAAGCTGAACTAGAGGAGGAGACTGGCAATGCACTGGCGATATCAGAGAGGGATGAGGGCCAGGGACATGCTGCTGAGCGGGTAGAAGAAAATCAAGATGCCTCTACCGACCCTGTTATTGGAAAGAAAAGGAAAAGACAGGCAGCTGACTTGAAGGTCCAAGAATCACAGGAGGGAACATGTGAGCCAAGTGAAATGATTGAACAAAAGGCAATCCATGAAACTGCAGAAAAAGAAACAAAGGATATTGGAGAAAAGGGTGAAGAAAATCTCATTCTAATGAGAGATGTAGAACTTGTATTAGAAGATAGAGAAAGAGAAACCTCAGCAACGATGCCCATGTCAGAGTCAGAGATCAGTGAAGCTGAACTAGAGGAGGAGACTGACAATGCACTGGCGATATCAGAGAGGGATGAGGGCCAGGGACATGCTGCTGAGCGGGTAGAAGAATATCATGATGCCTCTACCGACCATCACATGGGAAAGAAAATGAAAAGACAGACAGCTGATTTGAAGGTCCACGAATCACAGGAGGGAACGTTTGAGCCAAGTAATATGATTGAACAAAAGGCAACCCATGAAACTGCAGAAGAAGAAGCAAAGGAAGAAAACAATTTAGATGTTGGCGATGACAAAAACGCCTTTACAACCAGTAAAAAATCAACAGAAAATAAAGAATATCCCATAGCATGCTTGCTTTGTGATTTGCAATTTGAGACAAAATACTATCAAAGGAAACACATGCGTACAATTCATGAGGAATATAGGCAGCAGTATAAGTGCAGTACATGTGGTAAAATTTTTGAGCAGAAAGGTTTATACATAACACATGTCGAAACCCACAAGGACAAAACAGAACGACAGAAATACTATTGTAAGATATGTGATAAAACCTATCTGTCAAAGTATTATTACGATTATCACATGGAAAGGCATAATGATAAATCAAAGCTAATCGAATGCAAAACATGTGGTAAAACTCTTACTAGCAAACAAAGTCTTGAGAGGCACATCAATGACGTGCACATCAAACAGATAAAGTACATTTGCGATTTGTGTGGGAAACGACTCTACACCAACAGCGAGATTAAGTTTCATCTTGAAAGTCATAATATAGAGAGTGCATTTAAATGTGAGGAATGTGGAAAAGGCTTCCTCCTGGATAATCAACTTAAAATCCACAAGAAAAGGGTCCATTCCAGTGCTGGTCATTGCCGTTGTGAAGTCTGTGGATCAGCTTTCAAGAGTCAAGCCAATCTGAAACAGCACAATCTTACTGTCCATAGTGAAGTCTACAAATACCACTGCGACGTTTGCGGAAAGAAATTCAAGCGCACGAGTCACCAAGTTGCCCATATGAAAATCCATTCCAAAGACCCCGCTAACAAGCGTTTTAAATGTGAACTTTGTAGTAAAGCATTTCAAACTAGAGGCATGTTTAAGGTGCATATGGATTGGCATCACAACATCCGGTCAAATAAATGTGATGTGTGTGGTAAGTCATTTCTGACGAAGGGTAACCTGGACAAGCACGAGTATGTTCACCGGGACAAGAAACCCCATGAATGTCAGATTTGTTCTCAGGGTTTCATAGACCTGCCAGTTCTCAGGAAACATCTAGACGTAAAACACAATATCACCCTGAAGAAGTTAGTGACGCAGAGAGTGCGCGAAGCCAACGATTCCAATTAAAGAGTCAGGAGGAGATGCTGTCCCTGCTCGTAAACCTGCTGCCAGACCATCTTCACCTTCAAATTCATGGTCTCAGGACGCTGATAATGACAGTCCCGAATTCAGTCATCATGGGAACTTCAGAAGAGGCAATATTATTCAAGTTCCTGAGGCTAGTGGTGGCCCAGTGGATAGAGAGGCACTTCTGGCTATGATGAATCAATAGATTTATAGCAAAAGGGAGAGGAGGCTAATAGATCGATATTGTAACATATTTTCTGTTTCTGGCCTTCCTCTCACATGCACCTGTCCGAGCGGTCAGAGAATATTGCATGAAACTGAAACAAGCAATGGGATATACGTGTTAGAGAATGGAGCACATTAGAGAGCAGTCTTGAAGGCGTTTGACACTATAAATCATGATATTTTGCTAGAAAAGACGGCACATTATGGTATACGTGGTATTGCTTTCCAATGGTTTGCTAATTACCTCTTGAATCGCTCTCGGACATCTCGGCTATAAGGAGGCCAAATCTACCCGAAAGACTATTACGTGCGGCGTGCCGCAGGGATCAGTTCTGGGTCCTACATTGTTTTTTTAGTGTATATTAATGATTAATCTTGTTGTACTAACTATTTTAATTTTGCATTGCTTGCAGACGATTAAAATATTTTTCACACTTTTGATGATAATCAAATTGAAATTGATGTAAATGAGGTTAATGAGCAACTAGATGCAATTCAAAAATGGCGCGATGCTAATAAACTCACTACCAATTTGAAGAAAACTAATTACATGTTTATTTTAAAAAATACGACGGGCAATTAATTTAATTGGTGTCCTTAGACTGTCTAATACGGACATTAATGATGTGAGCGTGGCATCTTTTGTAGGAGGTCAAATTCATAGTACATTGTCATGGAAGTTCGTTCGTTCGTTCGTAGAAAAATGAGTTTGCTATTTACATTAAGACATTTTGTTCCTCAGTATATCCTTGTGCTCTTGTATAAATCGTTTATACAGCCCCACATACTCTATGGAATCGAGATATGGGGAAGCAGTTATAAATCTCGCTTGAATTGTATTCATTTAGCTCAGAAGATGGCGGTGCGAGCTATTACGTTTTCATTATTGAGAACATCCTCCGGACCACTGTTTAAACAATTTGGGATATTGGATGATTTTGGTTTGCATGAACTGGCAGTTTTAACATATGTTTGTGATTGTATATGATTTGTATAATAGAAAGTTGCCACACACATTATTCGATTATTGTAAGATTGTACACCATACTAATACGAAACAACAGGAAAAAATGCAATGCTACCCTTGCCAATTTGTAGGATGACACAAGGTACATTCACCATTTATTTTGTTGGACTGAAGCTTTGGAACATCTTACCTCAGAAGATTAGAGAACAAAAAACAAGATATTCATTTCGTAATACCCTCACAATTTATTTGATGAACAAATACATTATCGGTCTTGTAGCAGTTAATAATGTTTTGTATTTTGAATGTATACAGTATAATGTAATGTTTAATGCTATAGTAATGAACAGATACACTATCGATATATAGGGAACCGAGAAAACCAATTTAGACTAGCACTTGTGCTAACTTTTATTTTTCTTTTAGCAACAACTTGAAGTTCCTTGAACTTTTGTATAAAATGTGTTTCATGTAAGCATTAATTAAGTTTTTGCACTAATTCATTGTTTTGTACATTATGTACAGTTTGTATTTTATTGTTTTGCCATGCATAATTTCTTTTATGATGTAGATACATTTTGTTGTTGTTAATAAACTGCAAAATAGCGACAGCTAGAAACTAGTGTTTTAAGGTATAGGGCTTTAAGGTATAGCAGATTTTCAAATGATAAACAAAATCAACCACACAATGTAATAAATGCTATCCTTTTATTTAGCTATATGCAGAATGTTAAAGCGACTGTACCTTCGGTATCAACTATGGTAACCACGGTACTGGGAACCATGGTTACCATAGCTCGGTATTACGATGGTTTTTAGTACCATGGTCACCATGGTTCTATTTCCAAATTACCGTCCACCATAAGAACCATGGTAATTACATGGTACATTTTTATAAGGGTATCAAGAAACATCAAGTTATTAGCCTATTTAATAATAATAACAATTATATTTAGCTTTAATGTAGTCTCTAAGCGCTTTACAAATATACTATTACATGTACCCCGGTCATTGGATTCAGTGCTTGCCTGCACACACTGTGTGCACAATCTCCACTCCCTGTTGAGCATTCAAGCTATGCATTACTTGACGCTCAAAAACTGTTTGACCAACAATAACGGTCGCATCCTACCGGGTACCCATTTAACACCTGGGTGGAGAGTAGCAAGTGGACTTACTTTTATTGGTGGTAATAGACTTTAAATTGCCTCATTAATGTCTCCTTTGCACATGACAGTTTTAACCCTATACATCTAACCTAACAACTGCTGGGGCTCTCTTCCTTCTAAAAAGTCTGTATATTGCCCTTCGAAAAGAGAATTGTTCAAAAAGCAGAATAGTTTCGAAAAACTGCTTTTTTTTTAAATCATAATTTTAGCTAAATGTCACATGAAGTTCATATGAAGCGAGTGTACATGTTTTTCTGATTATCGAGACGTACTGTACATCGATTAACTTCTATAAAGAAAACCAGTAAATATGTAAACCCTATAGTAAAATGAATAGGGTGGTGGTGGTGGTGGTGGTGGTGGTGGTGGTGGTGGTGGCGGTGGTGGTGGTGGTGGGGTGGGGTGGTGGTGGTGGTGGTGGGCATGATTAAAAGGGAGAGGGCACCAGCATAAAGGACACTCTGAAACACATACAGAGGAAAAACCCACAAAGTGTGAACACAAAGCAGGAAAAATCACATTTTAGACATTGAAAACCCCACATTCTGGTTAACAAGGATCATCGTCGTCATTGTTTCTATCTTTACATGAATCTGGGTGTAGGTATAGTGCTTCCACGTCATACTTTGTTGTTGTGTGTTATGCTCTTAGAATTCATTACCATGTTTGGCAACCCTCTAGCGAGCTTTGCAGTCGTCAAGAGAAATTGTTGTTTTAAAAAGTATGCATACAATTTGTTGAAAAGTTTATTGAAAAGCGGGATTAGTCGCACCCCATGACTAAATCTTCTGGGCCCTATTTTCATTGGACTTGTTATCAACATGCTGTTACCAACATGCTGTAACCAAAAAATCCCAGCCAATTGACAAATGCAATGATTTCAGTAGCATAGACTATTATCAGAAGCCTCCTGTTATTCACATTTATGCCATTTTATTGACACAGTGCAACGGTGCCTATCAATTGTCATATTCTTTTCTTCTTGTTTGCCATATACTTTTGCACTGTAAGCGTGCATAATGTGAGTTGTATTTGAAACTGAACGTTCATAACACTGCCAAATTAGCAGTAGTTTGAAGTTGGACGATATGCAACTCAGCTCCATCTTGATTGCGTCTGAAGCAAAAATTAGGAGTATAGGCCCCTAGATAGTGATGAAAAGCATAGAAGCATACACATGCTTTAGTAGTCACGCAAAACACACATTGTCCAATTATTATTCAATAAAATCTGAGAATGTATACTTCTATCTAGATCTATTATTTTTAAATTATTTTAAAAATAATTCCGTAAATTTCGGGTAAAACAAAAATATTCCACCTTTATGAGCGACAGTGTATATAGTACAACTACTTCTTTTACTCCTTCTCTTTCTTTTTCTTTTTCTTCTTCTTCTACTTCTTCTTCTTCTTCTTCTTCTTTTTCTTCTTCCTGTTCTACTCATTCTCTTTCTTCTACTTCTTCTCTTTATTCTTTTCTTCTTTTTCTTCTTCTACTTAAATTTGTCTTCTTCTTCTTCTTCTTCTTCTTCTTCTTCATTATGTTTATAATAATTATTATTATTTGTTTTAAGTACTGTATTATCATCACCACCATTGTAATCATATTATTATTATTATTATGATTTATACACGAATTGAACAACATGTTTATCGCAAATTGCGTGTAAAGTGTTACACTGGAGAGTCGCTAGATATCCGGAAAATAAACAAAATAATTTTTGTTGTGTGTGTGTGTTAATTATGCTTCATATCAAGGGTCTTGACAAAAAAACTACGAATTGGGGAATCCCACTTCGTGTACCATTTTCGGATTGGATTGACGTAGTGATCGCCACACGCGTATAGTCACTATACGGAGTTCGCCGAGCCATTCATGTTGCCTAAAGTTTACAATCCGTACTTTCTTTGATATTGGAGTATATTAACTGAGGTAAGATATGCTCGATTTTTACCAGGTTATAATAAAGAGGGGGCAAGAAGGATAGAGATAGTGAGAGAACGGTATGTGAATATGGAGAGTAAAACATAGAGAGAGAGAGAGAGAGAGAAAAAGAGAGAGAGAGAGATACGTGTACTTGATACTTGGGATAGGATGTGTTGTGACAGCAGGTGAAGGTTCAGACAACAAAAGGGTGAACAATTTAAAAATCATACTGCTATATGGTTTACAGCATTCTGGAACCTACAGGAGGTTCCAACCCTCTGGTGACAGGGATGGCGGTCATCTGGAAAGCAGCAATTGTTGGGGCAGTAACTGCAGTGGCTGGTAGTTGATTCCAGACCAGACTCTGTCCGAAAATATTGGCCACGCGACACAACACGGTAAAATAGAGAGAGAGAGAGGAAAAAAATAGAAAGAGAGGGGTGGATGAGGCAGAAGAAAGGGTAAAGATGGGATAGAGAGAAAATATGAGAACGAACAAAGAAGAATAGTTTCAATGATTTTAGTGCAACTTTTGGGGAAACTGGATCTTGACAATAGACTATATGAGATAGGGGAAATCCCCTTCTGGCCCTTTGAAATTCCCTAACTGTGTTTTTGCTCTTAGGTGAAATTGCACACAATACAACTATGGAAAAGGATCTACGGACAGATTTTCTCATATTTATTTCAAATGAAAATAACTTAAATATTGAAACCACCGCAATGAAAATTGAAGCATTCATTTCTGTAATATTTATTTCATGGTATCATAATTTTATGAGGATATTAGATCTTTCTCTCTCTCTCTCTCTCTCTATCTCTTTCTCTCTTTCTTTCATTTTCACTCATTTTAATCTCTCCTTTCTATCTCCCCCTCTCGTTTTATATTTACCCCCATATTCCTTTCATAGTTTTGAAAACATCCGTCTCAATCTTTAATTTCTCTGCTCCTCTCTATCACTCAACCCAACAGCCCGTTCTTACCCTCTGAGAAATAACTTCACCAGTAAAATTTATATTATAGGTATTGGACCAAATGGTAAAAAAATCCTCCACTAGAGGGGAAAATCGATATAACTTAAAGTAGATCCATGTTTAGGCCGATCAAAACCCGAATGGGGTCCCCTCATCTTGATATATTATACATGTACTATAACTTTCAAGTATTTCGTACTATCAGATTTCATAATCAACTCTATTTCCTTCAGATAGTGATGGCGGAAGAAGTTCTGAGTGATGCCCTTTTGAATGCACTTTCCAAGAAAATTGATATAGCACTTTATCCAGTCAATGATTTCGCCGTCGACCTGGGCTTCGATTTCGCCGCCGCCAGCGCAGCGGAACAGCATTCATTTCAGACACTGAATCCGCAGGGGAAATACGAGCATCTTCTAAAAAAGTTTGTCGACACTCACGGTCGGGGGGCGAAAGCTCTCATCGATATATTCAAAGATAAACAAAAGAAGAACCTTGTCAATTTTCTTGAGGAAGGTGTGTCTGAAACTATCTCTCTTAGAATTTTGGTCATCCAGTAATGGCGAAAACTTTTAGTCACGACTTTCTCTGCCACCAACATAATACACATTTCGGTGACAGTTCGGTAGTGAGGTGACTGACAATGGGTTCAAAATGTCCATTTAATGCTGGAATTATATAATAGTGTAGCTCAGCTTTTTGTTTATTTTTTTAAATCGTTATTGATATCATTAGATTGTAATGAAAGTGCTAATTATATTTGAATGATAACTATGACGGTAGCGATGATAATTACAACGATGAATAAAAATGATGATGGAAATCATTTTGCATATCAAATTGTTGTTTCGATGTTTTATGAATATAAATTTCAGTATACAGTTACGTCTGATGTATTGTAGCCATATTGCTCCAAATGGCATGCAATCTATTATCCATTGATCATTCAATAATCAAGTAGGCCTATATTCATTGATCTTTAATATGTAGCCATCACAAGACAAAACGCACTGAAGCAGTCTGGACTTGCAGAAGGACAGAGGCAGACTGGGACTAATGCGAATGCCCGGAACAAATCATTTTCGAAATATGTAAAAGGTGAAATTTTCTTCCGATATTTATTTTCTATAATTTTAACAAGTTTGTTTTGGTTTCATGTGTTTGATATTCATCGTTGAAAATAGATAAATAAATGAATAAATAGATGAGAAAATGCAAATTTGAAAAAAATAAAAGAAACATATCTGCAATGTTATTATCCCAAGTGGAGAAAAGAAGACTGCTTTCGGCCTCTCCATACAACACCAAATAACGATTTTGACTGCACATCGGTAATTTTAAATTTTGCTTACTTTTTGTCTGTTACTGATTATCATTTATATGTAATTAATTCATTTATGCGGTTTTTTATTTTTTATTGCAGGTCTGACCGTGGTTGTGGCGCTCTTGGCTATTGTGGTGGCTTGCGCTTGGAATAATCTTTTCCCTGGTAAGCTGATGACACTATAATTCCTTTTGCTTTGATTAAGCAAGGTGCATTAGTTCGATGACCGGTAAAGGATGTACGTTATTTAGAACGATTTATCTTTGCTCCTCTCCACCGAGGTGTTTAATGGGTACCCGGTAGGATGAGGACACATGATAGTCCACTGTGATTGGATCACATAATTATTTACGTGAGTAATATCTCTACATTGGCCTAGCATGTGCGCAACCGTAAAAGGGCGACTGGCTGAAATGCTCCCCATTCATGCGAGTGGAGTGGAGAGTGTAAACTGTAAAGCTTCGCTGTATTGCTAGGGAAACTATCTGGTTTAATGACCGTCCTTCAGTTTAGATATTTAACCAGTTCAGGAATATTTTGTTACCTATTTTTGTTTATGTTTTCTTTCTTTCTCACAGAACCG